TTCTTTAGTAGCAATAATCCGCCACATCGATGATATATTTTATCCATGTGCTGATCTGTCATTAGATCGTCCTAGTGTTTAACCTTACCGTTTCGCTCGAGATACGTCAGGCAGAAAAATTAGCAGCAAGACTTCACGATTAACGCAGTTTTTTTAGTTTTTACGTGGATCAGTATGATCTACCCTTGATGAGCACCCACTATGAAATTACAGTAGAGAGGCTTCAGTTGTCAAAAATAGTCATGAACTGAATTGACAGCTAGCAGGAAATTTTGAAGTGACTAGCCGTCACTGTTAAAACTTTACAAAATTATAATATGCCAGTATGAAAAGACGAATATTAAGTGGGTTTTGATCTCTTTTATGAAGACGAGACATTTGTGCGATACAATTCAGTGCACTATTCGACGAATAACACATTTGCAACTTAAATTCGACAGAATAAAAGCCTTTTACAGCGACATCTGTAAGATTTCAATTCCTCGAAATTGATGACGAATCAGTGAGGCTTAGTTGTCGAATAAGTTATTTTTCTTTAAAAATATATTATTTATGATATTATTTATGACTGCAGCGTGATAATATTCTTCTAACTATTACAGATGACTGTTATCTACGGCTAAAAGAATTTGAGTCTACACTATGTCAGTGATGAACAAACTTTCCGGAATATTTTGAGTGAATGTTTGATTGAATATTCTCTCATTATGAATAATGAGACAGAGAGAGACTAATTTATTCACGGAAAGTGGCAGGCTTATTATGTAATTTTACATTTAAAAACTCAGTACTTGTAACATATTGTTAGTATTATAGACATACTTCATTTTCCAAGGAGCTATATTTTTATTTACGTTGCAGAAATTATTACATTAAGCTTGGGAAATCAGAAGCTGGTTTACAATCGAAGATTTTACGTAAACTTTTTATAATTACAGATAGTGCTTTTTGTTTTGTATTTTGTAGAAGAGAATTTTAAGGAAAAATAATGCACGGACGAAGACCAGAACGTCAAGATCGTGAACAAGAATCTCTAACACGTATAGCTATTGTTAGTAATGACCGTTGTAAACCCAAAAAATGCAATCAAGAATGTAAACGTTCATGTCCCGTGAATAAAACAGGCAAATTATGTATTGAAGTAACGCCTGAATCAAAAATTGCCAACATATCCGAAGAATTATGTATTGGTTGTGGTATATGTGTAAAAAAATGTCCATTTGAGGCCATAGCCATTATTAATTTACCAAGTAATTTGGATAAAGATACAACACATCGCTATGGACCAAATGCTTTCAAATTACATCGTCTGCCAACACCGCGACCCGGACAAGTTCTCGGTTTAGTTGGAACAAATGGTATTGGAAAAACTACAGCACTGAGAATTTTAGCTGGAAAATTGAAACCGAATTTAGGAAAATTCAATGTACATAGATAGTTAATAAGTTTGAGCAAAATAATGATATGTTTTTTCTCTCTGTAGACACCACCTGATTGGGAATATATTTTAAAATTTTTTCGCGGTTCTGAATTACAAAACTTTTTTACAAAAATTCTTGAAGAGAATTTAAAAGCAATACTCAAACCACAATATGTTGATCAAATTCCAAAAGCTGCTCAAGGAAATGTGCAAGATATACTAAATAAGAAAGATGAGCTAGGAAATCAAGATGCAATAACAGACGCATTTGGTGAGTACTAATAATTCTTTTAAAACCTATTTACAAGGTATATTTTTGTTGTTCATAGATCTTCATAATATAAAAGATCGTCAAATAAGTGAATTATCGGGTGGTGAATTACAACGTTTTGCATGTGCAATGGTATGCATACAAAAAGGTGATATATTTATGTTTGATGAACCGTCAAGCTATTTGGATGTTAAACAACGTTTAAAAGCAGCGTTGGCGATTCGAGATATTATTAGAGAAAACAGGTAAGAGTGTGTTTTTTCACTATTGGCATAGAAAAACAGATAAATTTCGCTATCTTTTAGGTACATTATTGTTGTTGAACATGATTTATCCGTGCTAGATTACTTGTCTGATTTTATTTGTGTTTTGTACGGATCACCAGGTCACTATGGTGTTGTCACTATGCCATTTTCTGTTCGTGAAGGTAAGATTGTGTTTTTTTAGACCTTCTTTTGTGTATGTATTTCGCTCTTCTTATAGGTATCAACGTATTTTTGGAAGGCTTTATTCGCACAGAAAATTTACGTTTTCGTGATGTTGCCTTGACATTTAAAGTTGTTGAAACCGCTGCGGAAGAAGAAGTAAAACGTCTATGTAACAATAATTATCCGTCCATGACTAAAAAATTAGGTTCATTTAATTTATCAGTGGACGCCGGATCATTTACAGAATCAGAAATTGTTGTATTATTAGGAGAAAATGGAACGGGTATGTGCTATCTCACGTCTTGTCTGTTACATTACCGGTCAACATTTTTCTATTTTTAGGAAAAACAACTCTAATACGAATGTTGGCTGGAAATATTACTTCTGATAGTGAGGATGAAGTTCCCCAACTGAATATTTCGTATAAACCACAAAAGATTAGTCCAAAATCTACCGGTACTGTGCGCGATTTGTTGAATTCAAGAATTCGTGACGCGATATTTCATCCACAATTTCAAACCGATGTTGCTAAGCCGTTACAAATTGATAATATTATAGATCAAGAGGTAAAGCTCTTATTTTTACATTAATGTCCCTCCAATAACTAGAAACAATTTTGTCTAGGTGCAAAATCTATCTGGTGGTGAATTACAACGTGTTGCTCTTTGTTTATGTTTGGGGAAACCAGCCGATGTTTATTTAATTGATGAACCATCTGCCTATTTGGATTCTGAGCAACGTCTGCATGCTGCACGTGTTATTAAAAGGTTTATATTTCAATTCTGTTTTACGCTTGCATTATATTGTCATGTTTTTTTGTTTAAAGATTCGTTCTTCATTGTAAAAAAACTGGCTTCGTTGTTGAACATGATTTTATCATGGCTACATATTTGGCTGATCGTGTTATTGTATTCGATGGTCAACCATCTGTTAATGCACATGCTTCCGAGTAAGACTATTTTTCGTCGAAGAGTTCTTGATCAAGATACACTAAAATTAGCAGTCTAAATTGTTTTTACTTATGTTTTTTTGTTCTTTTGTAGACCACAAGCACTTGTTCCTGGTATGAATTCATTTTTGAAACAATTAGAAATAACATTTCGACGTGATCCAGAAAATGCACGTCCAAGAATAAATAAAAAATTTTCTGTTAAAGTAAGTTATTTTACTTTCACACTAATCTCTTATACTACATGTATTTTTTTTGTCTGTGTATTGTTGTAGGATACTGAACAAAAATCAGCTGGTAATTATTTCTTTTTGGAATAAAAATGTGCGAGAACATGTCTATGTGCTATGAATGAGATTATCCGGTTGGTCGTGTAAAAAATATGAGAAACGTTATCGACGAGATCTATACATGAGATAAGTGAGAGAGTGAAATATGATTAATAACAGAAAAGAACAGATTAGAAAATTAAAAAATAATCTTTGTTATTGTTTCGTTGTTGTTTATTTGTTTTTCTTCCATTCTTATTTGATAAAACAATCAAAATAAAAAACAAATGAAAACAGTGCAATTATTTGCTCTTATTGATGATTTAACTTTTCGCGCGAAATAGAAGCAACGATGTTATGATCATTTTCTCTTTTGGCTGGCTTCTTTTGTGATGCGTCTGGGATGATGACTTTTCAACTCATATCAACAGATAAAAGCCACATTCGAGAATAGGCACACAGTTTTTGAAATAACAAAACGCATTTTGTTTTGGATCGAAGTAAAACATCATCTCTATTTTTATAATTAAAATTAACTTATTTTCACAATACCTTCAAATTTTTAGTGTTATTACCGAATATTTCAAATACATTATCAATATTTTGAACTAAATTAAGTACACTGTCATAATTTTCAATCTCTAATATCTCTTTTGTTACCGAATCGATATCCTTCTCAACAAAATCATAAAAATATACATATTTGAATTTAACACATCATTTGAATTAAAATCTTTCATTTTTTATCATTTAATTGTGTTAAATTAATATGAAAATATGTCTTTTTAAACAAGATATTAAAGCTGTAGAAAATATGTTCAGATTTAAATCAGATAAGCATTTATTTGGAAGAGAATACGCCACTATATGCCAACGTGTATGACACTTTATTTCTTACAATTTATTTGAACGTGATGAATACTTGGATTTGGATATTCGTATAGTAATCGTGCAAATTTGTTTCATGTCAACAAAATTAGAGCCAAACGAACAGTATACTGTTATCTTCCCACCTGTGAATTCAATTTATTAACGTATTTTATAAAATATTTAAGAAAGAAGTTGTTTATAAACGTCAGATACTACTAGTCAATTATAGTCAAGCATATCATAGTTTCTGTTGAGAAGGCGTTTACCGTACAGTAATATCTCCACACCCAAATACATCACTCGACGTTCGAAAAAATGCTGGCTATTCATTAAAATTATCGTTGAAAGTAAGATGATCGTCTCAGTGTGTATACACCATCCGTTCTAATTCTTCATGTTTTAGTATTTAGCCACAACTGACTGACATGATCATCCGTTTATCGCTCGTACAGGTTTATACGCTCAAAATTCATTAGAACTGACTGGTCGACGTAGTAATGTTAAAATTTTTTAAAGTAACCATTCGTAAGCAGTATAATTTTCTATAACCAATTCAATCTATACTATAATTATGTTAATCACCCGTCTATGTTCAATCAATAATTAAGAATCGTACAATCATACAACATTAATGATCGATTTCATCTCGGTGGACCGTTAAACATTCGAAGATTCGATTATCATAGCGCCGGTCCACATAATGAAGGTTAACCGACATTTTTTTTCTATTAAAAAAAACGTTCTATGACATCGCATTCTAATGTCAAAAAGATCTGAGTGTAACGGAAATGATTTTCTTGTTTAGGTACTGTATTGGACGGTGATTTTTATTGGTAACATCTTTATATTCCATTATCCTTTGTATTCTATCGTAAAAAGTTAATGTCTTTTGTGCATATTTATTATGTTCTAAATGTTTAGAGCTAAATTATAATAAGTCTTACTAAACATAAAAGGAGATAAATCTGTTTTGGTGCTAATCACTCGACTATCCTAAGACTAATTTTTTGTAATCTTTATTTAGCATTATGAAAGTTTTTTAATTTGGTGTTGCATTTACCTTTGTTTAAAGCACTTAGGTTATTATTTTGACAACTACATATAATTTTGTACATTTTGCATACAGCTTTAGTATTTATCAAACTCTCTTTAGTTTTCTACTAGTGATCAGAAAAATACTTTCGTTTTGGTAGATAGAATATGCCATATTTTATTGATTTTATAGAATAAATTTTCCACTGAATACCAGTAGTAATTAGAACAACAGCAGAATAATATGAGAATGATGTACCACTGTATCATCAGCAAAAAGTCTTGTGGTCGACGTTAAATTGAGTCCAATGTCATCAATGTACATTAAGAAAAGTAAGGGACCTAACATGGAGCCTTGCGGTACATCTCGACTTATCTGCAGTGCAACAGACTCTTTCTCATTAACTACAGTTATGCTCTTCGTGTCGGTTACCCTTGACAACTGTTTGGGGGTCCAACCGGACCCACCTTAAATTTTGTGTTTGTCATCACTTCACTATCTTTTTCATATGCCGATAAAATTGCTGGTATATTCGAGGCCAGAGAGAGCGTAAGCAGGCTTTTGATTGATGTATGGCAAGTCTAAATCAGACGAAAATCATCGACCCTGTCGATGCTTTTCCTAGTGGGTCCAACTGGACCAGTGAGCAGCTATCGAAGGTGAACAGCCGTCAAGGGTTAAGTAACTATGAAACCACTGAAGTAGCAGATCCTTAACTCCCTCACACTTAAACTTATACCCTAATCTACACACGATCGAACGCTTTGGAGAAGTTCAAAAAAGCAGCAGGGGTGACTAAATTTTGATTATTACCTAGACGAATAGTATGAACAAGATCTATCTGTTGAGTTATAGTTGAGTCACCTCTTATAAATCCGGACTGCACGGAAGACAATAAATTGTTTTTATGCAAATACTGATATAAATTTTGATGTACTACCCTCTCAAACACTTCGCTTAAAATTGGCAAAACCGTGGTTGTCTGTAGTTGGACGAATTTGAAACATCATCGTCCTTACACAACACATTTACATATCCTGTCTTGAAAGATTCTAGGTAAATCCTCAAAAGACTGGTTGATCATTTGAGTTAGATAAGTAGATGTTATAAGCGCTGATTATTTTAGTAGTCTAGCAGTTACACCAGGATTACTAAATACGAAGTTTCTCCGATTTGAATCTGTGCTAAACTGTGCGTAGTTACTGTATCGAGTGCCGCTCTTTGGAAGAAAACCTTAGCCTAGAAAGAAGAATTACTTTTTGGGCTCTGAGGCGTTCAAAGAAAATTATATTTTTCCAATAGGTAGAGTGAAATGTCTAATATCTAACGATGTATGATTTTTATAAATATTCTATTTTGCTAAAAATTTTTGTTCGATCTTCATCGCTCTGTTTTTCGGCAAAAACTCCCTTCTCGATTTTCTCACTAACTATGGCACTAAGAACAGAACTTCTTGTGCCAATTAAATACAGCATAAGTTGGAGTATATGACCTGCTATTCGAATCTTGAAAAATTCACTTTCGTTTTTCCACTTGATGTCCACGTGGTTGCCCATGGGCAACCACAGTGCACTGTGCTCCGTGGAGCGTGTCTCTGTCATTACGAAAACATTTATATCTCGGAAGAGCGACAGAAGTGGACGGAATAGAGTTATTCAGCCAAGTTTCAACCACTCTTACCACAAAAGAGTATCTTCTGATTGGGTATATTCATAAAATAACTGAAATTTACCGATGTTTGGGTTTGTAAGAGAGAACTGCGCAAACATACTTCTGATGTTGAGAAATAATTCGTAACTATCCTTTTTCATCGGGTCACGTTTGGTTCGAGCTGACCTGTTTTCCGATGCCATTATATAGGACTAAAAAGCGTGATAGAAATATATGACATTGACAGAGAATAGAATACTACTACTATTGATGGTACACATTATTTGTTTGGCGGAAAAAAGGTGAAAAATTTCTAGTTTGTTCCATTCTTTAAAACTGTTGTGCAATATGAGTTAGAAACTAAAGATGGACGTTGAATTATGCCTCGAACAACGGTTTGTATATAATAATCACTGGTGATTGTAGGTCGAATCAATTAATGAATTATCTTGTTTATCAATTGTCATAGATTGTTTGACATTCTGTGACCAGGGGCGTAACCAGAAGTTTGCTAGGGGGGATGATCAGCCTCTAAAATTCTTTTTCCGATCACGGGGTAAAGTAAAGATAAACTAGTAAAGAAAATAAGATCCTTCTCAAAAAATTTGCAAAAACTTAGACAGATTCAGTAGATAATGCAAGAACTTGTAGTGGAAGACTGAGTCCTTTCAAGCCAGTCAGTAGCCTCTAGTGGCGGCTCTAGAATTATTCTTTACTACGTGCGATATACGATAAAAATGCGAGACACGTGCGGTCGTCATAGAAACAAATTATTGTAAAAGAGTTCTGCTGGAAAAAAACAGTTTTTTGGTTAAAAGGTATGAGTGACCGCTCGTACCATCCGTTGGCTGGATCCGCCACTGATAGCTTCGCCAGTATTTATGATATTTCGCATATTTATGAATCGATACTTGAGTTAGACATCAGGCAACACATTCAAGAAAACAAATTTCTAGTAGATAAGTTGCGCTGTTCACGATTAATAGCAGCCATACTTCTTTTGTTGTTGCAGTAGAAAAAGTTTGTTTTTTCTGCTTTATACATGCGATAACGCAAAGTGCTGAAAGAACAAAAGGAAAATCGTTTCCATTTTTTTTCTTTTATAACTTAAACATATACTATATAGTAGACAATCAGCTCACTCTGAAAAGCTGAATCAGATCTTATTGAAATCTATTTTCTGATTCAGATATGAAAATGCTGATCAACTCGTTCAGCTCTGAAACGAAATTTACTGAAAGTAGCAACTTTAGATATGCCGGGTCTGTTCCATTAGAAGAAAAAGCTTCTTGTAAGAAGACTTCTAAACCGTTAGAAGAATTTAGAATAATACGAAAATGGATAACTTTGACTATTACGTATATTTAAGAACAATATTACTATGAGTAGGAAGAAATGATTATTACTATTAAACACGCTTTCTAAGTTCATCATGTGGTTTCCTAAGTCAACCTTGAGTGTGCTGATCAGGATATTCAACTCTGAATTAGTGAGAAACAAAAGAGAAGAAAAAGGTAAGTGGTCATTTTCAGTTTTTTCAGAGCTGATCCCGACTCTAAGTCAGTTCTGATAAAACGGCATAACTGATTAAGAACTGATTCAGCTGTTCAGACCGAGCTGATTGTCGATCAGTGTTACTGAGACAATGTCGTTTTGTTGATTATTACACGCAATAATTTTGAACTCTTTACGTTGCTAAAGAACATATTTATGTGGTAAATAATGTTTAATTCTGGCATATTCTTTTCTACATAAACAAAATTAAAAAAGTACGATGCAGAGTAGAAAAAGAATGTCAAATTTAAAAATCAAATATAATTGTCTATCCAACGGAATATAAAACTTCGTCGTAGAAGTGGTTAGTTGTACAAACACTTTTATAGAATACTATCGTCATTCGATATAGTGCTATTAAGAGAACAGACAGGTGACACTAGTCCAACTGGTACCGGTTTCACACTGTTACATTGTTCATACTATTTCTGATATATACTAACGGACTGTAATAAAACGATATCTTACTTAACTAACTGTAACACTGATATCTAAAACATCCTTTTCTATACGCTGTAAAAAACACTGACCTAGGGTGCTTTTTTGGGCGATGAATGGGACACTTTTTGGAGCCATTGTCAACGCGAAAACTGAAAAATAGTGCTCCGTAGTGATACACTTTGAAAAGTATCCCATTCATCGACCAAAACAGCCTCTGAGACACTCGTTCTTTTTACAGTGTAGATAATGAAGATTCTCATTTCTAACTATAGAAAATTAACAATCTCACGTAGTTGAGGGAACTTCTACTCAAAAATAAAAGGTTGCGTTATTATGCTCAATAAATATCCACTGCATAATAAGAGAGTACATCTCTATACTTTACACGAAACAGAAACTTAAGTATTATAAAAACAGAACCGTGCACCGGTGTTACCAATGCCGGTGTGACCAGTGCTAGTTTTCCTGTATGAACACCGACACTGGTGCATGCCCATACAGAAGAGAATGCTACTCTTTGTTTCATCTGACCATAGCACTGGATCATTTTCTTGTTATTGCCTTTCCATGAAAAAACGTACATGTTGAGCTCACATGTTCAAGTTATACTACTTTTTTTAATTCACGTAGTCTTCTAGAGCGTATGTAAGAATGCAAAAAACATCCAGTTGACCTAAAATGGAGGATTCGCTCCTTTTTTTTGTTTTTGTCAAAATATTTATTTGCAGGGATTTTTCACTACGACACTAGCCTGTTGGAACAGTAAAATGATGCTTTTTGAACTTCTGCCTCTGTTTCTACAAATTAATGCTTTATGGATCGTGCTTATTTTGGTTTCGATTCTTGTAATAAGTTTAATCTTCAATTTTATTCTTTTCAAATGGCGATCATCTGTGTTACGAATATACTCTGGAAAAAAGAGACGAGTTGACAGACATTTGACGTATCCTCGTCAGTATCCATGTAGTTGGTATCGAATCTGCGATAGTGACGAGGTGAATAAAGGACAAGTAAAACATATATGCGCACTTGGTCAAGAAATGGTTGCATTTCGCGGTGAGGATGGCGTAGCATGTGTTTTGGACGCATTTTGTATTCATATGGGCGCTAATCTTGGATATGGTGGTACGGTTGTTGGTAATTGCATTCAATGCCCCTTCCATCTGTGGGAATTTGGAACAAATGGTGTTTGCACAAAAATTCCATATAGCGATAAAATTCCTCCAAATGCCAATATATTTGCTTATCCTTGTGTAGAAAAATATGGTATGATTATGATATGGTATCATCCGAATCGAGAGCCTCCCCATTATGATGCTATAAGCGTCAATGATATTGATGATAATACAAATACATTTGTTGCACGAGGAAAATATAAATATCCAAATATAAAAATGCATTTGCAAGAATTTGCTGAAAATTCAGCGGATAGTCAACATTTTGGTCCTCTACACGGTACAATGATAATACCTTGGACAGAAATCCTGATTCCATTTATTAAAATTGATCATACAGCATCGTTTGCTCTTGGGTACGAGAAACATATTGCATACTTTTATGATACGGCAATGTTAAAAATATTCGGTGAAAAATATCCAAAAACAAAAGTCGATGCCAGCATAAAGTTTTATGGTCCTGGTGGAATTACATTGTTCCAGTTTGATGGTGAATTTGGTAGATTGTATTTATTTCATTGCCATACACCCACGGATTATACATGTTTGGATGTTGAATTTTTAGCATTTATTGAGAAAAAAATTCCAAGACTGCTAAGTTGGTATATCATTGGAAATTGGATTGCCCAGTGGAAACGAGATATTGTCGTATGGGAGAATAAAGTGAGTGGGATCTCTCATCAACTATGACTCTTCATCATATCATGTTGTATGTTTAGGTTTATAAACGAGCACCATTTCTGGTTAAAACAGATGGTCCGATAATGAAAATGAGACGATGGTATAAAGAATTCTATGTGCAAAAAGAAGAAGCATTTGATTGGTGATATCCGACAGAGAAAATCTAAGTACAAAAATGTTTCATACTATCTATTTGATACTGAATTGTTATTTTATGTTACTTCATAAACTAATATTACTTGGAATTTAAGTCTGATCCCTTTAAAGACATATTAGACATGCCAAGGAATAGTTGGATGAAATATTGCGGCAATAATGCTTCCTTAAAAGGTTATGATTTATTTACTCTGAAAACTACATGTTGTACGGATAATTTTGGACGCATCTGCATATCCAGACACTTAATACAAAACACCAGACCCTTGATCGTCACTCTTGTCCTTAAGACAAAGTCGTACCAACAATATCATAATTCAAGACGCTCAAAAAAGGGTAACTACCACTTTGATGAAATAAATTCTAACATATTTTTCGGAGATATTCACACAGTTCTTGAGTAATTAAGCATTTTCTCAACATTCGAGAATTGAGTTTTATAGTCTTTTATGTTTTTTACTGTTGTATGTGCGTTACTATGGTGTTTCTTAGGAGATAGATAATGAATATGAATCTTTTGTCCAAAAAATATACCTGTTCGAGAGGGACTGTGATATGCACTGAATCTAAAATATTTGTGTAAATCTTTGATGAACGAGTTCAATACGAAAGCGAAAGAAAACTAATTTCAGAGTCTTCAGATATCGAGTAGAATGATTTAATTATGGGGACGTATTTAAATCAACTTTAACTCAACGACTTTTACCTTTTTAATTAAAATTTGGTTCACCTTATAGCGAATTTTGAGCTCTATCTTCTTTGTAAGTTGCTAGTTAATCAGACTGGCTGTTAATTAATTAGCTGACCTTTGCTGCAATCAAAGGAAACCGTCATTTTTTCGATCTATGCGAACTGGGATAATTATAACCACACTATCATTTTTCATGAGATAAATATAACCACTCCGTTCAAATCACACGGAATCGACACAAATTAATTTCCATAGGGTTCCATAGGCTAATCTTAATACTAATGAATTGGCAGAATATGTTCACTGTGCCGTTATTCCATTTGAAAACCAGGCAAGAGCAAAACACTTTGACAGCCCATTTGTGCAGTAAATAAAAATATGTTTTTTTCAAAAGAACACTTTTAACGTCTGATATCCAACTGTGAATGTGATCCGCCATCATGTAAAATATTTTAAGTGCAATACATAATCTAATTCTTTTCCCTACAGTCTAATACTGTGGAAATATAGTTCAATAGTTCAACATTTTTTTTAATTTTTTAATTTATCAATTAACTTCGATCACCTTCAATGTTTAGATAAAAACGCAATTGTTTCCCGTTATCTGGAGAAATGATAAGGGTATTTTATGAAATAAAACAAATTTCATTAGTAAGAATAGAAGAAAAAGATGCTAATTAGTATTTAGCGAAAATTGATAGGCGAAAAACGCATAGCTAATATAAATATAGAAGCTGATTAAATTTGATTATCATTTTAAGTTTCTATTCTCTCACTTACGTATCTCTTATGCCACGAAAATATATGATATTTAGAACGACAACGACAATCATTTTCAAGTTGCTCTTAAAGAAGTATCTGCCAAAAATTAAAAAGTAGCTGATGATAGAATTATCAATTATTATTTTTGGTCTTAAATTTTAGAAATAGTTATATTGACTGTCTTCGAATATTGAGTGCTGATGCGTGCTAAAACGAAGATTTTGAATGATGTGTAGTCGAAATATACATATAAGAAATATTCAGGCAATTTCTTGAAACATCCAGAAAAAACTTTCTGTTGACGCTGGTTGTGAACCGGTACGCTTCAATGCTAATTGACACTAATTCAACACTTACTACGTACCACATAGTACCAGTGTCCTACAGTATGCCTGGGATAGAACAAATATTCTAAGCGTCCTAGAAACCTGATTTCTTTGAAATTTCTGGTAATTCAATGAAATATCGGAATCCAAAAGGATTCTAGTGACTCCAGTTCGTAGAGTAAACATTTGTAGTTAAAATCAACGTCTCCCAGCACCGAGCGATGCTTTGATCAAAAGTTATGACAGCTTTATTAAGGCCCTAAAACGTGTGTCATACACTAGCGCCGCTATATCTCAAAAGCGACTTTTTCCTACGTAACAAACAGTGTCGAAAAGATTTCTCCGTTAAATTAAGCGCTAAAGAGCTCGAGTTGATCTTAAATCGAAGCTAAGACATATAGCAACAACATAAAAGATTTTTGATTTAGGCCGTCATTTTTTTACATTGTCGAAGGTTATACCCTAGTCAAAACTCCCGGCAAAACTCCAACGGGAGTCCCAAGTTTATGAAAAACTCCAGCAGGAATCGTAAGGAGTCCTGATGACTCTCGCAGGAACTTTCTAAAGTGAAAAGTCCAACATGGAGTCATGAGGAGTC